AAATTTTCTAATATTGGAGATAAATTCTATAACAGCCAGCATGTATTTTCCATAAACTCTACTGTAGTAAACTAGAGAAACCCTGTGATTGCTCTGAGGCACTGCAATGGTCTAAGGTATAAATAAGCAATTCTGTCACCATCCCTGTGTAGCCTTGGTGTTTTAGGAAGTGAAGTAAGAAGGGCTGCTAAACACTTCAAGCCAAATCATTAATCTTCTTCTAACTCAAAAATATATTTTATATAACATCTATCCACCTAAATGCTTCTGTAGAGCAAGGGTTTTCCTATAGGAATAGACTCTAGTTAAATGAACAAGTGACCTGTCAAAGTAAAAATTGCACATAGAGAAGAATTGTTACTAAAAGCTAAGAGGCAGATAAGGCTAAAAGACCAACAAAACAAGCTCCGATGCTGTATGTGCCATTGCCACACTGAGCAAAAGCTGAATAACTATGGGCTTCAAACTCTCTGAAGCATAGCCCAGCACCAGTAAACTTCCTATTAGTGCATGACAACCCTCAAGCTGCCAACGGTTTCAGCAATCCAAGGTGCTGTATTCAGCTTGACTATTCCTTTATACACCAAACTATAACTGAAGAGAGAAAAGAAAAGAGGCCCTGATGCTGCTGACCAACTAAGCACAAAATCGCATCAACAGCATACTCTTGGCATGCTGGGACATTAAAATATAATCATGAAATGCAGTGTGTGTCCCATTCAATCACACTGAAAACTGAAAAGGAGAGCCTTTAAACCTAGGCACTATCTAGCCCACAGAGCCTTTCTGAAGTTAAAAATAACACTTGGCTCATGCAGGAGTTAAGGCTGTAAAATCAGTGTCTGAAGGGGTCTAGCTCCCTCTCTAGAGCACAGGCAATTATAAGACCATTCACTCTTGCAATTTATTTAGCAACATGTCCCACTTCTGCATTCAAACACATTTTCTAGAAGATGGCAAAATTCTCGGGGACCACAAGAAATACTTCTCCAAATAGTTCACAGACAGCCACAGTGGTAGATTGAAACTAGAGCTCGGTGAAGAGGAGGTACAGAACCCCAAAGTGTGAAAACATTGCTAATCTTCAATGAGTCTATGTGAGATGGCTGGAGGCTTTTGCTCTGGTACAACTTGATACTGGGTTTCAGTATATTTCAGAGTTCCTTCAAGACCAGGAAACTCAAATCACACTTGGTCTCATCTTGAAGTGGAATTTTCTTTTACATTAATTTATACTCATAACATTGTACACATTAATTGGATTTTTTATGTGAATTATATGAACAAATGACCATTATATAGAAATATCCCTTCTCCAAGTACTGAATTTGTTGATATTATCAAACTTTCAGAGCTACTTGTCCATTGTTTGGGTAAGCCACTTGGGAACTACTATCACAGATATATAGAGGTACATGAAGATCATCATGCCCATTTTACATTTTTATTATTGCCTAAACAAGTTCCCAGACAGACGATGTAGCCCAACTAGACAAACGTGGGAAGTAAAGTGGCTAATTTTAGTGTAGGACTCTTCTCATTACACAGAACAATTTTTTGCATGACTAGCCAACACGAATAAATGTATATCACTTATTTGGGGCAAATATATTAACTCCAGCAAATACTTTCTTTTAAATAAACAATAAAAATGTGAAATCAACAATGGAGGATGAAGAGGTTGAAAGCATTGTATGCTAACTCAGAGACTGAACAAGCATCATGGATGGGTGGCAGAAATTAGATGTGAGCTCCTTGAAGAGAAGCTCACAGCTTGGATAGGCTACTCAAGGTTATGACATTGTAATACTGAATTGTAAGTTTTAAGAAGCAAATGCAGTGGTTCAGATATAACAACCAACCAATAGTAAGTGCTCAAAAAATAATGTACCCATCAATTCTGGAGTACCACCAAAGAGCTGTGTCACTTCTGAGAAATTTCTTTAGTTCTTTGGGTCTGAGTTTCCACAACTGAAAAATAGTATAAAATCAAATTAGTTCTGAGTTTCTTTCATTTCATCAAGAAAGGGGGATTTCCCAGGACAGCGGTGTACCTCAGTTGTAGAGCACTTCACTTAGTCCATGAAAGCCCTGGCTTTAACATTCAGTATAAACCAACTACAAAAAAAATGTAAATCTCAAAGGAACTCACTTGCATTTATTATGCAAAAATGATAAAGTGTCTTGGACCAGTCCTGGGTATTGAACTAGCCATCACCAGAAAGATGTTTATGCATTTAGCAAAAGAGGTCCCCATTCTAGTCCAGTCTCAATGCATGGAGCTGCAGAAGCATGCCGTAGATATATCTAATGTGTACTTCTAAACTGTGAAAGGAAGCTTATGGCCCAGTTCTATTGTTGCTACAAACTATATGTATGACTTTTGGATAAGTCCCTTCTCTTGTCTCGTTCTGTGCCCTTGGGAAACAACAGGTAGACCCACTTGATCCCTTGAATAGTTCTTCTAGTCTCTTCAGAGACCATCTTTTTGTGCCTTCAACACAGGTTTAAAATGTAGAGTAGTAAAGCTATGGAGTAGATGTCACTCACTGGAACAGATTCTACTCTTTGTGGATGTCCTGAGCCAGACCAACTTCTGTAGGCAGCCAGGCACACAAGGACTGGCTCTGTACCTTAGATGAAGAACATACTGGTGACTATGAAAGAACTTACAGAAACAAACTTTTACTGGGCATAGTCAAGGAATGTGTACTTCTCACAAACTTGGACCCTTTTGCATCTTCAGCCTTTCCCCTTGGCTGGCTGAAAGACTGAGTACATTGAGACAATATATTTTTCTTGATCATAAGAGAAAAGAGTCTAAGGGCTGGTGGTGGAATCAGTAGTAGAACCCTTGTCTAGTATATGTTGTGTCCCAGGTTACCTCCCCAACATGTGGGGGGTTTGAATAAAAAAGACAGAGAGAAAGAGAGAGAGAGAGAGAGAGAGAGAGAGAGAGAGAGAGCTAGACAAAGGGAGACAGAGGGGGAAAGAAGAAGAAGAGAAAGGGGGAAGAGAGAGAACAGTTCTAAAACAAGAAGGTCTTCCTCCTGGTCCCATGTCTGATCCTGGGAAATATTCTCATTCATATGCATTAGCTGCTGGTTCACTAAGTCATCCCCATGAAGCAGGGCTTCACATACTGGGTAAAAGCAAAAGTGGGCTTTCATCTTGGCTCCTCTATTTAACGTCTGTGTCATCATCCACGAAATGTAGCCCCTCTAGTTTAGATTCCTTTGCTGAAAAGTAGAGAAAACAGTAATGCACAATTCTGAAGACTCCTGGGAAAAGTCAAGACAGTTCTAGCAAGCAGTTAACTCAGAACCTAATACCGAAGGAAAGGGAAGAGAGAGGGAATGGAGGAAGGGGAGAGGAGAGGGGGAGAAAGAAGAAAAAGGAAAGGGAGGCTGATCCTTAGGCTCTTTGGAAAGGATCATTTAACAGTCCCGGTTTCGTGGCTATAGGCAGCATCCGCTGAACTCTCTTCTGGGAAAATGCCATGGCAAGGATTCAACACTGGTCTGAACCCTTATGAAGAGGATCCTGAAAGCATCAGGAGGAAATGAGATTATCCTGAAAGTGGGAAAGTTGCTGCAGTTTAAGATAAGATCTTTTAAAAAGCCATAAACACACATAGTGGAATCATGTAGAATCAAAGAAGCAAGGGGGGGGGGGTTCTTCACTGACGCCCTTTCAAGTGTTGCTGGTGTAGAGGCTACAGAATTTTAAGGCTGTGTAATTCCCTACAGGCAACCCTTTTCAATTCTCTCTCTTGGTAGATAAGGACCTGAGGCCCAAAGAGGTTAAACAATACATTTAAGGCACTTCTATAGTAAAAGGTAATGCCAAGACAAGCTTCTGAAGGTCACTGATTGCCCTGCCTTGCTTGTCCTGTTGTGTTTTGCCATGTCAGCATCCTGTCCCTGAAGTACTAAAGCAAAAGTACATAAAATCATACACATATATACACACACACATACACAATCACACAAACGTTTTCTTGATTTTTACAAGTCCCCCATTAAAATTAAATGAAAAATAAATAAAAGCAACTCCAATCCCCCTTCCCTTCTTTCTAGTTTCCCATCGGAAGCCCTGTGAGATCCCATTCACTTGCAATTCTCTCCAAGACCATCTCTGGAGTTTCTCCTCTTTCCTTTTTGTTCCTTCTTTGCATCCGTTCCTAAAAGGCTGTTTCTAGAAGTTCCTCGCCATGAGGTTGAGGGACAACAGAGCTAATTTGCAAATGCTAGTTTTCCTCCAATGCCATAGGGCGAGATGCTGAAGTTTCTTCCCAGTCTTCTGTTTGGGTAGAACTGACTGATTCATCCCTCCCCAACATTAGTGTAGAACCTTCAGATGTGCCTAACAGAACGGGAGGAGGAAGATACAGGGGAAGGAAAGCCGATGACTAGGAGAGGGAGGGAAGCCAATCGGAGCACTCTGACCAAATTGCCAAGTCTGGATCCTGGAGACGGCTCTACTGCCAGAGTGACTCAGTGCTGAGTGGCCAGAACTGCCCAGGGGATGCACAGGTTTAATTACACGCTCTGGTAGCTGACTAACAGCAGGCTCGCGCTCCAGACTACACTCATAGGAAGTGGGCAGAGGCTACCCTGAAGTGGCAGATGCAAGGAATTCTCACTCCCTGCGTCTTGCCTAATTTGTTCTTCCTCTCATCTGATTTTCTCCACTTTGCCTGATAGGCGCATCCAAGCTTCCCCAAAGTTCGGGGATACCACCCTTGTGGTCTGGGAGGATTAAGGTCAAGTGTTACCTTTCCCGTACACCAGGGAAAAACCTTCCCAAGAGTACCCGAAGCAGACAGACCCGGGCATTTCCCACCCCTCTGCACATGAGCCCGCCTCGGCATCCTTTAGCCTGAGGCTCTGTTCCAAGGCTGGAGACCTAAGTATCACAGAAAGACAAGTGTGCTTTCCCAGAGTGCCCACTTGCAAAACCAAAGGAAAACTGCTTCTGCCCTTTTCCCCTCTCCCTACCTGAATTCCGGGACCAGGTTAGGCTGAAGCCCATAGAAGGCAGCGGAGAGAGTGACCAGCCACCCCGGCTTGTAACTCCCGTTCTCGCACTCCAGATAAGGTGGAGACCACTTGACGTGGCTCCTGTCTCCTCCGAGTCCATCCCTACGCCGCCAGCTATGACCCAGGCCCCGTGGCCCCTGATTGGAGCCGCGGCGGTGCAAGTGGGGCCTCCACTTTCGCCGAAGCCCGTGGAACCACTCGGTTTCCAGAGTGGCATTGGCCAAGTGGTGAGCGGAGGAGGACAGGTCCTGGAGCAGGATGCGACTCTCCTCGCGGGTGGCCTGGAGGAAGACCTGCGGGGCGGGCGTGGACAGCGACTCGGTGCTGAAGGTGATGGCTGCCCGGGAGATGCTGGGCTCACCCTCCAGGAGACTCCGCACCAGAGCCTGGTACCACTGTAAGTCATCCTGTACGGTCTGCTCCCGAGACTTATTGCTCTGCAGCATCATGTTGAGGAAGTTGGTGGCGTGTGTCAGAGTGTCCAGCGCCCCGTGCAAGGAGGGATGGGAGCTAGCTAGGGTCGTCGACTTCCCCGGCAGGCCAGCCAACTCGTAGCGCCCGGAGCAGTTGGCTCGCTTCAGCTGGTGGAAGTCCCCGGTGTAGAGGTAAGAGGCCACGTCCATGGGCACCTCCTCGGCTAGTTTCTGTGCCAAGATGGTGCCGTCGGTGGAGTGGCTCCAGGGAGTAGAGGGGTCCAGGGCAGAGGCTCGTGCCAGCTGTTGGCCATGCTGCTTTTCCCTCAGGGTCTTCTCTCGAGGGGAATCCGGCCATCCCGGGGGGTCAAGGCTGGCGCCAACCGCTTTCAATCCCAGATGAGCGAGCAGGAGGCAGAAGAGTAAAGAGTAAGCCATGACTCCCATCTGTCTAGCACAGAAGAGAGGAGGTAACCGGAGGAGTCACTTTGTAAATGTTGGTCTCCAAATTATCACCAGTAAGACTTTTACTGGGGGAGGGGTTGTCTTCCTTCTTCTCCAGGTGGCGCTCAGTGCAGATGGACTTTAAAATAAGAATGATTAGAAATTGGCCCAGCTCGCTCAGCTGCCGTAACAGACCAAATCACCTGTGGCAATGCTGGCTGCGCCCGCTCCACAATGGGTCGGGTCGGGATTACGCACCTCGCAGCCTTGAGCCAAACAGGTTACATCCCCGGCAGCTATAGTTAGCCCGCTTACGTCTTTCTGTTCAGCTGCTTCCACCGCCGCTCTCATTGAGGTGTGTTCAAGAGCTGCTGCTGATGCTGATGCTGATGCTGCCACTGCCGCCGCCGAAGACGTTGTTCCATCATCTCACCCTTGGCAGGTCGTTCCCGCCTCCCGGCTCTGGCCCCTCCTGGACCCCTTCTCCGGGGGATGCAAGCGCGCACACAGACCGGCGCCGCGAGCGCAGCGGCGAGTCCTAAGGAGCCAGGGTTTTCTTTGAAGACGTTCGTGTCTCTGGAGTCCAGACAGCCAGGCAGCTGGTTAAGTGGAGCCTTTAGGTTTGGCCACAAACCACACCGCTGCCTCTCCCTGCTCTCAGTTGAAACCAGTTTAAAGAGACAGCTTGGCCGCAACCAAACCCTTGTAGGGCGGCTTCAAGTCGTCTTGTGCCCTGTTTGGTCGGTGCCTCTGTCAATCAGCTGACTGCCATTTGTTGGCTGGGGCGGGAGCTGTCCAGTGCTGAACCCGAGGCGCACTGAGGAGGCGGAGGAGGAGGCGGCGGCGCGGGTGCTTTCACCCACTCGTGTTCCCTGATGACTCGGAAACCTGCAGGGGTGGCAAGAAGTGGGCGGAAAGGAGGGGAGAAGCGGCGCTTTTGGTGGCTGAGAGCGAAGGAAACTTGGACGTACTGAGAAGGAGGAGGCTGTTGGCATCTTGCTTGCTTAGTTAAATCAGCCCTTTCTTTTGCCTGGAAAAGAGGGAGAAGGGAGTAGTTTTCATTTCTGACTGAAACTGGGGGTTGGGGGGAACGTAGGATGGAAACGTGTCCTTCTCAGCATCTGTTCATTTTTTAGGTAAATGATCAAATTCCCTTCCTTGTTGTCGGTTAAGGAAATGATTAAACCTGGCTTGCTGAGGACGGTCTTAGCTGTGAGAGAGTAATGGAGACATCTACTGGCTGAGCTTCAAGGAAAAATAAATGTCATAGTAAAGGAACCTCTTCCTCCGGACCAGAATGGAAGGGAACCTGTGAAAATAAAGATGTGTAGAGAAGGAGCATGACCGAAAAGTGCATGTTGTAGACTGTGAGAGAGTGAAGGCTAGAAAGAGTCAATCTGTGTTGTGTGGATACAAAGTCACTGTCCATGAGTTACTAGAACTGATGAATAAAATCTCAGACTTCAGAGAAGGGTTGAATAGGTGTGTCAGCTCCTCAAACAATTGACAGGGCTGCTAAGTCACCCGACTGTATTACTTGAAGACTCCCTTGGCATTTGAGATGTGTCTTACACTCTGATAATGGGTGAATAGTACAGAGACCTATTTTACTGTACACATCTGCAGTTTCAAATTCCTTGAGCCACATGGAAAAAGTTCCAGGTTCATTTTAGCCCCCAATTCACAAAACGTCACTCATGGCATTCCAAGAAAGTACTGCTTAGATTTACTGTGCTGTGTCATTCTGCTCTAATGAGAAAATACCTCAGTCTGTTCTGTGTTTCTGTCACAATAGACTGATGTGTAAAGAAAAAGTGTTCATTTAGCTCTTAGTTTTTCACACTGGGTAGTCCATGATTTGGGGGACTGGTAATGAATGGCCTTCTGGATACATGAGAACATGGAAGACAGTATGATGCTCAGGAGCAGATTGGAGAGAGAAGTCATTTGGCCCAATCAAGGGAAGGACCAAACTGGCTTTTTATGGCAACCTTGTTCCCCAAAACCCTACCCTTTCTCAGTGTGCATCATTAATCCATTAGAGAGAGGGAGGTCCCACCTCTTAATGTTTCCACTGCAGACAAAGCTTCCAATGAAGTGCACCATCCACATCACGTAATAGCAAGAGCTAAGTGCTAGGATGTGAGAGTCAAAGCACCAAAACTCTCCACCAAAATCATGGTGGTACTGTGAACATCCAAGCTGGCACACAGGAAGCTCTCAATATATACTTAGTAATTAATGAACGAACAAGAACGTGGTGAATCCAATTATTCCTTTCTTTCTCATGAGGAAAGTTCTGTTCAGTGATCTAGGGATGAAGGCTTTTGAAACAGGACTTAGCAGCCAGCTTTCTCAACTGTTGTATGTGATTTCCAAGTGAATTTTTACAGCTATGAAAAGAATAGTTATTCCAACTGTATTTGTTTATACATAGCTTCTGTGTTCATATCTGTCCTAGTTAGCAGTGCTATTGCTATGATGAAACACCGTGACCAAAAGCAAGTTGGGGATGAAAGAATTTATTTGACTTACACTTCCACATCATTGTCCTTCATCAAAAGTAGCCAGGACAGGAACTCAAAAAGAGCAAGAACAGCCAGGCAGTAGTGGCGCATGCCTTTAATCCCAGCAGGGGCAGGCGGATCTCTGTGAGTTCAAGGCCAGCCTGGTCTCCAAGAGCTAGTTCCAGGACAGGCACAAATGCTACTGCTACAGAGAGAAACCTTGTCATGAAACAAAAAAAAAAAAAAAAAGTGGGGGAGGGGCAGGAACGTGGAGGCCATGGAGGAGTGATGCTTACTGACTTGTTTTCTGTTGTTTGCTCAGCCTGCTTTCTTATGGAACCTAGGTCTTTCAGCTCAGGGGTGGCCCCACCCACAAGGGTCTGGGCCCTCCCCTATCAGTCACTAATTAAGAATATGCCCCATAGGCATCGTACAGCCCAATCTTATGGAAGTATTTTCTCAACTGAGGCTCCCTCCTTTTAATGACTATCTAGCCTGTGTCAGGTAGACATAAAACTTGCCAGCATAATATCTGATTTTGCTTAAATTTTGCTTTACAACATATGCTCCTATGCTAAGTAGAAGTAATTCTAGTTTAATAGTCTGTTACAGCACATGAAGCAATAATTAGAGATTCACTGTTGAATTTATCTTGTTATACTCTTTTTTTGTATCTATTCAACTAAGGACTAAAGTGTAATTTCCTCATTGAGTATTAGAAAACTGGTAAAAACTTGTCTAAAATTCTTTACATTTTTACTGCATATAACTTAAAAGGAAGCAATTTTTCATTAGTTGCTCCTTTATACAATTAATTCAATGGCCTAGACTAATCAAAAGACCTGGCATTGTTTTTTTATATTTATTTATTAAAGATTTCTGTCTCTTCCCCTCAGCCGCCTCCCCTTTCCCTCCCCCTCCCCCAATCAAGTCCCCCCTCCCTCATCAGTCCAAAGAGCAATCAGGGTTCCCTGCCCTGTGGGAAGTCCAAGGACCACCCACCTCCATCCAGGTCTAGTAAGGTGAGCCTCCAAACTGCCTAAGCTCCCACAAAACCAATAGGTGCAGTAGGATCAAAAACCTATTGCCACTGTTCTTGAGGTCTCAGTAGTCCTCATTGTCCGCTATGTTCAGCAAGACAGGCGATGAAAGGAGACAGAGACAGAGACCCACATTGGAGCACCGGACTGAAATCTCAAGGTCCAAATCAGGAGCACCAGGAGAGAGAGCACGAGCAAGGAACTCAGGACCGCGAGGGATGCACACACACACTGAGACAATGGGGACGTTCTATCGGGAACTCACCAAGGCCACTGGCCTGGGTCTGAAAAAGCCTGGGCTAAAACCGGTCTTCCTGGCATTGTTTTGAAGAAATGTTTTTGGGGCTAAGGAGATGACTTTGCAGTTAGGAGCACTGGGTGCTCTTCAAAAGCTCCAGGCTCGTTTCCGAGCACCAACACGAAGTCCTTGAAGCTAACAAGCACCGGTACTCCAGTTCTAGGGATCTGGCGCCCTCTTCTGATCTCTGCCAGGATCAGTTATGCTCAGGATGCGCACACATACATGCAGACACAAAGCACTTACACTTCGGTATATAAAATAAAATAAATCTTAAAAAATTATATATATATATTAATAATAAGGTTTAGCTATGTGTGGTGGTGTGTGTCTGCAAGAAATCCTAGCATGTGTGGCATCAAGCAGAAGTATCACATTTCAGACCAGTCTGTGCTACAGAGCAAACCTTATCTCAAAAACCCAATGGCTAGGGATGGAGTTGAGAGACTGAGTCCTTGCCTCACATGCCCAAGACTCTAGATTTGATACCAACATTTCAAAAAACATAACTTAAGAGAAAATGTAAAATTATTGCCAACAGTATATATGATTTGGCCCATGTGTCAAAATTATTATTTTTATTATTTTAATAAGTAAACAATATAAAATTACCAACAATCTCTCTAACGACTTCTAATATCATATGTATCCTATATTCATAGAATCTGGCATTTTGCACTAGCCTTATTAAGTTGCCTATCACTAGAAACCACCATGAAGCACAGATCTAGGAAACGGTACATTATGGTTCAGAACACTGTAGAAAAACCTAGGTCCCAGCAAGAGAAGATCATTCAGATTCACATACTCTGGAATTGGTCCATTCGATAGATCTGGTCAAGGTGACTGAACAGAAAAACAGTCCTGTGTTTTATTATCCATTGGCAAAGTAAAAAAATCCCCCCCCCAAAACATTCATTAGGAACCAAGATTAAAAAAAAAAAAAAAAAAAAAACACTCTCAGAAGGCAAAACCTCAACCAGATCACATAAAAGGTACAAAATGAGTTGAGTTCAGTAAATGTTTAGTTAACTTCTACTAACTACCAAGCCTGGAACTGAATTAAAACGGGTGCAACATTTACTTTCCAGCGGTCATGCTCAAGTGGGTGCAAGCGAGCAAAGAAACAAGGCAATTACATACGGTGATGAGGACCAC